CTCCAGGCCAAACGATCGATGGATGGTGGAAACAGATAAGCCATGACACTGGCTGCACCTTCTATTTCAACGTCAATGGGCGAGTCACGACAGTCACCAAGCCATACCTCTTTCTTTCAGCGTCTTGGCATAATAAACTAGTCTCATCTCAAAGTCCAGTGACAATTGATCTCATCTCAAAGTCCAGTGGCACTTGAATTGTGACTTTTTGGCCTCCCAGGTCAGCCCGCGTGGGCAGCCCCACGGCAAATGGACCGACTGGACGGAGGTTTCGCCAGACCATCCGCCTCGAATCTTTTGGGTGAGTCGCAGTGGCCAGAGGGTTTACAAGGACACGAGACCCTCCTCTTCCTCTGATGACGTTCCTTGGTTCAAGTTGCACCTTGTTACATTAAATTAGCTACCTGGGAGGCCAAAAACCCTAAACCTCAAACCCTCAGGAGAGTCGCAAGCGGAAGCAGGACTCGACTGCGACAGCGGAGGCCATCGGTGCTGCTCTGGTGACTTGTCGTTCTTACTTCCTTCTCCTTTGCACTGAGTTGTTTTTACTTCCGCTTGTTTTTACTTCCGCGATCATGCCCCAATGTTGATTCGAGGCCAAACACCTGAAGCCGGCCCAGCCGATCCTCCCCCGCGGGCCGGCGCAGCCATTCACACCGAACAAGGTCGCTGTCGCGGTCGGGAAGGCTCCGGAGAAGAAGGAGACCGCGGCCAGTGCGAGCACCGACAAGCCGAAGCCGAAGGAGGTCGCGAGTGCGAGCACCGACAAGCCGAAGGCGAAGGATGAGAAGCCGCTCGACAAGCCGAAGGCGAAGGAGGAGAAGCCGCTCGACAAGCCGAAGGCGAAGGAGGAGAAGCCGGAGAAGAAGCAGAAGGGCGTGGTCGAGGTCGAGACCAAGCCGAAGGCGACCAAGGCCGAGGAGAAGACCGACAAGGAGAAGAAGCAGAAGGCCAAAGAAGAGGTCGAGGTCGCGGTCGAGCCGAAGCGTAAGCGGAAGTCTTGATCTTCCGATCTTGATGGAGGGAGGAAAAAAGATTGTCATTCTGCAGCCTGCAGCAACTACTTGGTTCATGCTCTCCTTTGCAACATGTCTGCGCCATTTGCCTGCCCAGGTTGGACATGACACTGTTACGCTATGGTCGGGGACTTGGTTGATGCTGCCTTCGTCGCGAACTCGTCTTGCCGTCCTTTCTTCCGTGCACCACACTTTGTTCATGTCAAGCTTCTTTGCAATAGGTTCTATGTCCTCTGTTCACTGCAGCGTCCGTTTACCGTTGGCTCTTCAGGTTGGCTGCTGTCTCTGCCGAGAACCCTGCTGCCGCGTCCCCAGTTGAGACCGGATGCGAAGACTGTTCAGATTCAAGATGCGAGACTCTTGAGTTATTTAAATCAAAGTAGATTACAAGGATGCTGGCTTCAAACTTTGGCATGTTCAACCCTGACAAGCATGTCTCATGTCTCTCCTCAGGTTCAGTGGTCAGTGGCACAGTGGAGCACGGCTTGCCGGGCACCCGGCCGACTTTATTATTGGAGCTACTTAGTTGTTGAGATTGGCTTGCCGGGTACCCGGGAAAGAAGACTGTCTCCCTCTGAAAGTCGTGGTTAGAGGTAAGATAGCTTAAGACCTGGGGCCGGCAATCTCATGCAGTTGTGCCATTCACCCATTCCATTTGTGTGCCATGCCTGCAGGTGTTTCGGTCAAGGACTTGCCGGGAACCCGGCAAAGAGTCTTTCGTCGGTTGCCGGTGTTGCGGATGGTGCATTTCAAATTCAGTTTAAAATGTTAACTTGTGTGAAAATACATTGCAAGAGAATTCAAGCAGCTTCTTTAACGGCTGTTCAAGGTGCCATGGAAAGACCCGCCGGGTATCCGGCTTCTCCACCCCAGGCTAAACCCGCACTTGAGATTTATTTGGTTCCGGCATTATCCGGGTGTGCCGTAACCGCCAATAATAATAACCGGAATCCTTACCTCAGCCTGAGCCACGGTTATGCAAGGACCCGCCGGGTACCCGGCTTCCTCACCTCAGCCTGAGCTTCAAGAAACAGAAGCATAATTAGTTCCAAGCCAAATATTTGTTTAGTGCCCGGCATGCGCAAGGAAAGCCAGCATAATGAACAACAGCAAATCAAAGCTAACCCAAACAAGTTTGGCTTCCCAATCGCCTCCCGGCTACCAGCCTCCTCGGCCGGGTACCCGGCAAGAGAGATCCGAGCAGAGACCAGTCGTCTCTGAGTCTGACCCAAGACAAGGCAAGTAAGCAGCTCTAGAACAATAATATTTGTGCAAGCAACACATAGGTTCCAGGCATACTGGAGCCGGGTACCCGGCAACCCTGTATGTTCATAAAGCTGTTACAGAGCGTGCTCGCTTTGTCTGGCACCGAGGCTTCCTACACTCACAGAGGTTCCAGGCATACTGGAGCCGGGTACCCGGCAACCCTGCATGTTCATAAAGCTGCTTTGTCCTTTGTCTGGCACTGAGGCTTCCTACACTCACACAGGTTCCAGGCATACTGGAGCCGGGTACCCGGCAACCCAGCACGTTCACTTTGTCTTGAATACAAGGTTGTTGCATTGGGTAATGCTATTGAAACACTGACTGAAGATTCCTACACTCACGCAGGTTCCGGCAAATACTGGAGCCGGGTACCCGGCAAAGGGCATGTTCTTAAAGCTGTGCTCTTGCAGATCGCGCTTTTCCGTGTGTCTAAATTTAAAGACAAGGTGGTTGCTTCTCGTAATGCGATTGAAACACTGACTGAGGATTCCTACACTGACACGGGTTGCAGCCATACTAGCCGGGTACCCGGCTACCAGGATGATAAAGCTGTGCTCTTGCAGACCTTTCTTTTCCGCAACGTTCTTGGTTCTGGCAAGTTTAAGGCAATGTGAAATTAAGCAAAAGAGGATTCCTACACCGTCGATGCCGGGTACCCGGTGTCTGCACCATGGACCAGTGGTGAGATTTCTGTGGTCGAGGTCGCGTCTTCAGAACTTGCACTAGGCATAGCTTCACTTTGTCAAAATAACATAACCATTGCAATAATTCGTTGTCAGAAACATGAGTTGCAGATGTGCGTGCGACAGTTTGAGGTTTCGAATTGTCAAGGCGCCGGGTACCCGGCATCCATGTCAAGCACTCGTCCGATCTTGCTTAATCTCAGCTTGTCATCATGTTATAGCATTCGGCATGCACTTGGTTATCGCAGCCTTTCCACGGCTAGTTCCGATCCAGCATGTTCTGGCACACTTCGCAAGACTATAATAAGACATCAGAACGCTTTCTGGGCTGCCTGTGTGCTTTCTGCCCGCGGTTCGATTACAGACAAGGCCAGTGGATGCAGGTGTACACAGGCGCGGAAGTGACTGCTTCTCGAGATTCTCATGATTTCTCATGACGATTCTGCTTGCGACGAGGGTTGCTCAACCGCCCTCAGACTCTGGGGCTCAAGTCAAAAGCATGCAGGATCGGCTACGTGCGTCAGTGTCGATTCGTTATTCAGAGTCTAGGACAGTGTCGGATACTCTGAGTATCGATTTCGCGGGCTGCGTGCATCAGTGTCGATTCGTTCATCAGAAGTCTAAGACAGTCTAGGATACTCTGCGTATGCTAACGACTAAGCTTTCTGCTTAAGGTGCTCAGGTCTTCGCGGTCGCGGTCGCCATGGGAGCCACGAAGCGCCAAGCAAAGGCCGCTTCAAAGGCCAAGGCTAAGGCGGCGGAGAAGAAGAAGAAGGCTAGGGAGAAGGAGAGAAAGACGAAGCAGCGTGGCTACGAGCAGAACCGTGCCCAGTGTTCCCGGCCCAGAATCCACCTTGCGCCAGGCAGGTCAGATCATGCTGCAGGGATCGACTCCTTGATAAGTGACCTCCCCTTCACAAGTTGACCAGGCGCCTACATGGTCATCCGCTGGACGGACCCCGATGCCGACGATGTCGTCTTCAAGAAAGAGCTCCCTCCGGATGTGGAGATGTTTGCTCCAGTGATAAAGAAGGAGGAACCTCGAAAGGTGAAGAAGGAGCCTCAGGATGGTCCGGTGGTCAAGAAGGAGCCTCAGGCTCAGGAGTTTGTGCCTTCGCCGTCGCGGTCGCAGTCGTCCGCGACGCTCCACGTGACAGACGACATTGAGGAGCACCCCTGGGTGAAGAAGCTCCTGGAGAGGACACTCGTCTGTTATGACATGGCATCATGTTTTAAGTGGCACACTGCTTGCAGCTGCAATGTGACTGCCCAGGTTCAGGGCCTTGAGGACTTCCTATCAGTATATGTGCACAGACTTGGAGGATGCCCTTGCCGAGAAGAAAGAGCTGCAGAGAAGCCCGGTTTAAAATTTGACATCATTCGTAGTCCTCAAATTTGTCAGAACAGCCATGAATCGCTTGCAATGCTTGCAAGGACAACTAGATGATCGGGCTGCCTGCAAGGATCAGGAGAGAAAAGGCCCTCAACTTTGCGCCTCGACTGCTACTGCTTAGACTGTCCCCTTCGAAGTTGCTGCCTCGGCTTATTTTCCTTATTTCCTGATGCCCAGGCACCCTTTGCCAGCAAGACGTCTTTCGTCGGGGTCGAGGTCCTTTCTCATCGTGATAATATTGGGCCTGAACCTCTGAGTGCTATACGTGATCCTGTGCCTCGGCTTTGACTTGACTCCCTGAGAGAGTCAAATTCACGCAGTTGCGCACCGTGAGCTCGTTACTTCAGGTCTAGATTTCTTGCCCGATTGAAAGGCAAAGCGCAGGCTCAGGCGGGTCGCTGAGCGACTTCTTGATGATGTCATTTCTGTGATTATGGGGCACGGAAAAATATCGGCGTCATGGTCGTCAGCCGTTTGCATCCTCATAGCAGTCCCGGCCTGACTGTGTGAGTTTTTTGGTGCCTGAAGCTTCCTTGTCCTTTGGTGCAAGTGTCCATGTCGGTTCGGCCTGTGATTCTAGCGCTGGTCCAAGCAAGCATCTTTGATTTAGGGAAGTCATCCTGATTCGTGGTCGCGGTCGACATGGCGCACTCATGTGCGGACATCGAGAACACGGTGTATGCAGCCATCAATGAGGTCAAATGGCTGGAAGTCGAGGCAAAGCTCGGAAGGGGGTGCAAGGAGTTCTCTTTCAACTTGACATTCCACGAGTCCCCGGAGCAGGCCAGACTTTCGGGCTGGGTTTCCTGCGTTCCCTGTCCGACTGTTTTGAAACTTCCAAAGAAATGTCAGCACCTGCGCAGGCCGCACTCGGCTTCTGTCGCGAGAATGTGCTGCGTGGCTTGAAGGTCAACCTTTCTGACGCGGGCACCGGGATCAACGAGCCTCCGGCATTGCAAAGTCAGAGTGTGGCTGTTTCGCGGGCGGACTCTGTTGCAGGCAGTTCCGACACGGACCCGCCGCCGGCCAAGAAGATCAAGAAATCCACCGCGGTCGAGGTCAAGCTCACGCCGCAGCGGAACTTCATCATCCTGGAGCACAAAGTGAACCTGATGAAGGCCCTTGAGAGTGGCAAGGCCACCATGGTGAAGGACAAGAAGTTCTATTTGACAGGGCTCCAGATCGACATCGACAACGTGGACTTCAAGGTGCACAAGTGTTCCCTGGCTGCCAAGGTCAACGCACAGGACTTGAGCAGCGGTGGTGACGGCACGGAGGCAACGCTTCCAAAGTTTGCATTTTTCAGCGTCGCCAATGGCGCATCTGGAAGCCGTGTGCATCGGGCATTGATGAGTGCGAGTCCGGGGACATTTGGTCAATTTGGTGACCGCTTTCAAATCTTCTTCGGCTCAGTGGAAATCGCTGGTATGATGGCTTGGCTTTGTCAGCCATCATACACTGCCAACCCCGTCAACACGATGCAGATCAGCAAACACGTCTTCAATCACTTCCCGGGCTTCACACACGTCGGCAAGACAAACCCGCTCACGGATCCTTGGTCTTTCATGGCTGCGATGTCACACGCTTGTGCATAGGTCCATGTTTGGCTGCTACTGTTACATGACTTGCAGCTTAACTTTCTTGAATCAGGGCTTCTGGATCTCCGACAAAGTCGCGGTCGCGGAGGCTTCCCCGGTCACTGTCCTGGACGTGACGGTTTCCTTGGATACATTGCAGACCTTCACGATCCAGTCTCTGAGGGAGAAGTGCACTCAGGATTTCTTCAAGAAGGAGATTGCAAGCACAAAGGCCTCCCTGGCCTTTGCAAAGGAAGACGTGGAGCAGCTGCAGATGAAACTGGACATCCTGCTCGCCAAGACGGGCTCGGAAGCGATCCAGGATCCCACCGCGGTCGAGGTCGAACGGACCGCTGCGAGGACCAGCTGAGCTGAGCAGGCTTTTTTCAAGGTGTTCTGCACGCCTGACAGTTTTGCTTTGTCCAGGCAGCAGAGCAGATTCGGTTTGGATATCCAGACCTCATACACCATTTGTCCCGAGCCTTGCACAGGTGCACAATCGCATACACCCATGCACGCAGACAACTGACAGAGAGAGAGAGAGAGAGAGAGAGAGAAAGAGAGACAGAGAGAGAGAGAGATATAGAATGAGAGAGAGAGAGAGAGAGAGAGAGAGTCGGACAGGCACACGCACAAACACAAGCACACGCACCACGGACATGCGTGCACAATCAAATACTCAGACATGCGTACAGACAGACTGACTGACAGAGTGAGAGAGAGAGAGAGAGAGAGAGAGAGAGAGAGACTGCGCGAGGGGGGAGCTAATGCGACCTTCCTCTGGCCGAGTTGAGAGAGAGAGAGAGAGAGAGAGAGAGAGAGAGAGAGAGAGAGAGAGAGAGAGAGAGAGAGAGAGAGAGAGAGAGAGAGAGAGAGAGAGAGAGAGAGAGAGAGAGAGAGAGAGAGAGAGAGAGAGAGAGAGAGAGAGTGCGCGAAGGGGGGGAGCTTATGCGACCTTCCTCTGGCCGAGTTGAGAGAGAGAGAGAGAGAGAGAGAGAGAGAGAGAGAGATATAGAGAGAGGGAGAGAGAGCGACAGATGCACAAACGCACACACATTATATACGCAGACACACAGTCTCTGTTAAGCCGTCGTGGTCGTTCTCGCAAGAGCTCGGGCCAGCTCGAGGGGTGATTGTTCTCCAGCACACTCCACAATCTATGGCAGCAGAGAGTGAAATATGCCGTGCCACATTCCCTGTTTCTGTTCGGCAGCACTTTGCACTTCCATGCCTGAACTTGTGCGAACTGTTGGTCGAGCTCGCAAAATCCCTGGTCAGGCGACGACTGCTGACTGAACTTGTCAGAGGCTGAGCGGTGGGTTTATCTACAGGCTTCCCAGACGATTTGCATAGATTCAGATTTCTCCTTTGGGATTACCAGTCAGGAGTGCCAGAGTGTATTCAACACGTGTTTTGCATGTTGAAACGACTTGAGCCTAACGTTAGGCTCGAGTCGTTTGTGCGCGCGATCTGCATGTTAATTACACTCAGCTTTCTTAGGCCACTCTGAGTGTAATCAACATGCAAATCCCTTGTCGAAACGACTCGAGCCTAACGTTAGGCTCCAGTCGTTTGCGCGCGCACGAACGCCCCCTTCCACGGGTAGGTCCTTTGAATCCTTATTGGAGCTTCGTCCGAGGCCTGCCGTTTCGGAGGACGCCGGAGTCTCGGAGCTCTTGTCTTGCCGCTGCGGAAGCTGACGTGGGGCATGCTCGTGTGAACTAACTCCACGTATTGACAGGCTCAGAGATAACATGTGCGAACAATCCAGGAATGCTTTGTCTTTCCACTTCTGACACACAGGAACACGAAGTTATTAACGTAATTCCTGCGTGTGGCAGCAAACGGGACCTTGTTACACATATTAAAGTTTGGCTGCCTTTGCTCGTGATGGACCGACCAATGCTTCAGTCGCTGCTCTCAGAGCGGCAGTCCTGGCTGGCCTTGCGGGATTTGCCTCGGGACGACTTGCTGGCAGCCCAGCAGACGATCGGCTCCGATTGCTCTGGACTTGACTGCTGCATCTATGCCCTACGCAAGCTGGGGATCGAGCACAAGCATCTGTCGCTAAGCAACAATTATGGTGACATGGGTTTAAATGCCTTAGAGCACTTTGTCGTTCAGAAGCGATCGTGCTGATGGGCAAAACCTGAGGTTCAGTTGTGACAACGACGACCATGCGAGGCAGTGGGCAGCGAAAAACCACAGTCCACACAGGTATTATGAGGACCTGAGGGACAGGCGGTCGAGGTCGGATCAGGACAAGACGATCACTGGCTATATTACTGGTTTTCCTTGCCGTCCTTTTTCGGTGCAGAATTCCAGCAGCAGAGGAATGAGCCACAAAGATGCTGATCTGCCAGCATGTGTGGTGGCCGAGACCATGCGTGCAAGGCCACAGTGGGCCGTGTACGAGAACGTCCTCGGCTTGAGGCAGTACCTGCATGGCCCTAGAGGCGTCTTCAGCATATTCCAGAAGGGGGGACTGCTCAAGGAGTACTTTGTTTTCGTCCTACCGATTGACCCACAGAAAACACTTGGAGTGCCGCATCGCCGGCCACGCCTGTACTTCGTGTTGGTTCGGAAAGCAGACGCGGTTTGTTCCAATGTTGGCTACCTCTCTGAGCTCATCCAGACGTTGCTGGAGAAGCTGACGACCGAGGTTCGCCGCCGTCCCTGCCCACGATTGCCCGACTTGCAAGGCGAGACAGTCTCTGCTGAGACGTGCAAGGGGCGACCAAACGGCAAGATTCAGAAGCAACAATGGCCAAAAGTGCACAAAGCTTTCTGCGAGAAGAACGGAATCCGGCCGAGGACCTTCTCTGAGAGCCAAGCCCCAGGACTGACGCCACGAGAACGGGACGTCCTTGGCATTTGTGTGGCACAAGCTCGGCAGCAAAGGGCATCTCGGGACGACTTCCAGATCGTGGACGTGTCGCAATCCGCACATCGTGCGCCTACGGCTTTCAACGGCGTGCCGTGCCTGACCACGTCCTCCAAGCTGGTCCTGGTGCCCCCTGGTGCGGACAAGTGCAAGGTCCTGTCAGGGCGAGACAAGCTTCGTTTGATTCTTGATTCCCTCTGTAGAATGCTTTGACTTGTAGCAGTGTCAACTTGAAATATAATAGGTACTGTTGTCGATTCTAGTTCCAGCATGTCAGTTGGACTTGCCTGGTAACAGAAGACGTCAGGATCGGAATCATGCCGGAGCAGTGCGTCATTGAGAACGAGACAATGGCCAACGCCTTGCATCGGCTCTGTGGGAACGCCATGCACGTGGACGCGGTCGCCCTTGCAATGGTCTTGGCAATGTCCTTGGTGTCGTGGGAGCATTGCGATAAGCGGGAGAGCACTGCAGCCTGCCATTCCAACGCGGTCGTCTTCACGTTCCAGACCGTTGAGAAAGGCAAGCGTCCTCAAGGCCTGCCTCACAAGGCGCTGCTGTCCATGAAGCGTTTGCGCAATGGCAAGGGCAAGGCCGCGAGGTCGCGGTCGGTGTCGCATGCCACATGCCAGGTTCACAGTGACAGGAAACGAAAGTCTGCCGCGCAGTCCAGCGATGCACCGAAGCAGAGGAGATCACTTGGCAGTCTTTTTGGATGAGTCGGAGCTTGCAGCGACAAGATTTTGTGTTTGAAGTCAAGAACCAGCTTGACAAAATTTCAGAGTTTCTGTCACGTTGCCTGGGAGATGGTATGGCTCCGGAGAAAATAGGAGTTCAGAAGTGACCGACCTGCCTCCTGTAGAATTTCCGAGGTCGCAGCTCCGGCGGCACACTGCGTGCGCCCAAGTCTTGACCATGCTGACTTGGCCTGCGTTGCTTCATTGTCAATTGAATCTGTGAAGAGACTCAGATCTGCCGCGCCGTGTTCTTTCAACACAGCTGCACCTCTTGCATGCAACTAGCCGCGTGGCTTCCGAACTCAGCGGCTCCTCAGCCTCAGGAGCGTGAGGTAGTGCGCCCTGCTGCCATGACAGAAAGGAGAAAGCGCGAAAAGACTGCGGCGGACGATGGCAACCCGGTAAACGCATCGGCGAAGAAGGCCAAGACAGATGGCGCGGCGCCGATGCAACTGGTTGCGGAAACCTCCCCGATGGGGGCACACAAAGCAGCGGCTTCAGCTGATGCAATCGAAGCTTCGCCAGCGGCTGTGGCAGGCCCTTGGTCTCCGCCTGCGAACGAGACAGATTCGGCTGTGCCGTGCTTGAGGAAGCTGGTGCCGCAGACAAGAGCAAGAGCCATGGAGTGGCTGCGGGACAACATGAAAGCGCATGTGGGCACACCTGCGAACATCGAGAATGTGCCCCCGCTGAGGATCCAGCCTCCAAGTGGCCAGAAGAAGCTGAGCAACGCGGCTGGATACAAAGAGATCTGGGACCTCAAGAACATGATTAATTCCCTGAACAACTCGGGGGTGTACGAGGCCGGGTCCACCATCTGGATCTTGTCGGTCCCCTTGGATGACGAGGTCGAGGACTCGTGGTCGAACTACGTCCAGCTGGGCAGCGAGGTTCCTGGTTTGAAAGAGAGTATATAGATCAATCCCGAGTAACAATGATAGGATTATTCTTTGGGTCTTTTAAAAGAGATTTAGGGACCGTAGCCCAGGTCTTCGCCCGGTCCAACAAGACCGGACTGGTCGTTTTGGGCCTGAGCATTCCGGCCTGTCTTGATGCGGTGCCCACGACGACTTTGCCAACCTTCGTCAAGGCCATCGGTGCGCAGAAAATGTGCATGGCCTTCTACGTCATGCTCGCCTTGGCGTTCAGGGAAAAGGATGAGCAGCGGGTGAAAGAACTCATGCTCCTCAGCCTGGGGGTGACGGTGTCCTTCTTTGTCAACTTGAACGAGACCGAGAGAATCGTCGAACAGACAAGGGCAAATTTCCAATCAAAGTCGCTGGGGAAAAGCTGCGCAGACAGCTGGCTGACGTGGTCGCTGCGGGCAATCCGGGTTGCTGAGTTGCACTCAGTGAAACTCAGCGGCAGTGACAAGTCGGCGACCGCGCTCGGCGATCTCGGCTTGAAAATGGATGGAAAGTCGGTGAGCCGCAACCACACCCAGTGCTTGGGCTTGCAGCAGGCGATGCTGACGGAGGACTCCATCGCGCTCCTGCGGACGACGGAGAGGCTTTTTAAGGAGAAGCCTTTGACGCAGGATTACACGAAGCTGCTTCGAATCCTGAAGGTGATCCAGAATGCCAGTGCCCACCACAGGGCAAGCTATGACATGGTGGAAACCGCCAACTGGGTGATTTCCGCATGCTTGGCTGAGCTGCTGCGAGGCAGCGTGGAGCCCAGTTTCTTCACGGTGTCGGCGCTGGACCCCTTGCACAAACCAGGCTTCGTGGCACTGCTGATCACCCGTCACCGCT